GGGTTCTTTCTACAGCTTCATGGGATACGAGTCAAACACAACATTTAGAAAACATGTTTTCATGTTTAGCAGCCCACACACTTTGTTTCCCCAGTCAAAAGTGTCTAATAATATAGCTCTGAATGCACATGTAACATTACATATGGGCATTCCTCTGCATCAGTATTCCTCTGCATCAGTATTCTTCTGTATTCCCAACCTATATTTCTTTTTAATTTATCTCGAGCCTTTGAGGCACGGCGCTGTTGGCAAATTAGTTGAAGTTACATTCGGGGACGTAAGAGCACAACAACAACAAATTGGCCACGTTTGAAAAACACTGCATCTTGTGATCATCGACTTTCTCTCCCCGCAATATTCACGTTAAAGTATCACAATTGCGGGACGCGAGATGAAGAAACGTGACTGATGTATCTGGTGGTATAATCAATAGCCAGCACAAATTATCTGCACAGTTCCATGCTTCCCTCCATCTGTAAGGAATGATGAAAGATTCCTCGGAAAACAAACAGTAAGTGTGTCTCTCTCCATCACACTCTTAGACACAGACAAATACACATACAATACCCATATGGGATCAGCAGATGCTTGGCAAGGAGCGAAATGGCTATGTTAGATACCATATGCTGTATGATGCCTCTTAGCCACTCTGTGTCAGGCACTTATTTCTGACAAATCCTGCAAAGGCTACGAAAAAAAAAAATACAAAATTCCCTGTCAACAACACCACTAGTATCCCCAAAAGGGTGCAAATTCCATGTTTTAAGCTAAGGTTCATCTTCAGTGTAACGCGTCTACACATTCATGACACATCCATTATAATGAGTCCTTGGATTCGGCATGGTGCCTGCCAGCACATTATACATTTTGTAAGCTAATTAAAGCAGGGGGCTACTTTCTTTTCTTGACATATTAATCTTATCTCACTGTTATGATGGTAATAAAGCCCATACTTGATGATATTGCCTTGAGAAACACACATAAGGAGTGAATCCCCCTCATACTACCTCCTCAAGGGGAAATCAATGTATCTTAATGACAGATCATTAGTGGCTCTGTAAAGGGGAACGATTTTAATGGAAACAACTCTGTCTCACCTAAGAACAAGGAGTGATATCACAGGAAGCCACTGACCACTTTTCTTCACTTTTCAAATTGCTGTTGAAACAGCTTCTACCCCTTTAAAATCTGCGCCATGCACATGTAGCCTTTCCCCACAGTCACATTTGACATTCAGGTACTTTTTCTTTTTTTTTTTTCTGCAGCAGTGATGAATTGTGTAAATCCATAGGGTTCATAGGGATTTTTTTTTCATGCGGACCTGTGGAAAGCAGAAGTGGTGATTCACACTGGATCTGCACTGTTTCGGTTTGGTTAAACACGAAATGGCTGGAGTGTAAATTGAAACGCCTCCAGGATTGTATACACAACCATCAGCTCTTGAATGTTAATTTGTTCAGTACAGGCTCCCCTTCATGGCTTATCTGCCGCTGCAATTGGTGCAATGATTGCTCATGGAAGGGCTGAATATAAATACAGATAAAGATATGATTGAGTAAATTGTAAGTTGTCGGTGTGTGTGTTCACCGTACACATGCGCCGCGAAGGACATCATTTGAAAAAGCCGAGACCGTGGAATGCACGGCGAAGGAGTCCACACACTGTTACCCACTTTACATCCATGTATAAAGCCAAATATGTGGGTAGCTCTTAAACATAATGATTTAAAAAATAATAATAACAATAAAAAATTAAGTTTCCCTTCCTATATATAAAACTTCAAAATAATAAATAAATATATCTAATTAAACAACAACATAAAATAAATAAAAAGTGGAAATACACACAGCTCAGTTGCAAAAGGTCTGGGAGACTCGTGTCATTTAGTCACGAACGACACGTTTTTTTAAGCTTGAACCCAACAGTAAAAAATAAGATCATGACCTGATAACACAGATGCCGCTTTCTTTTACATGTATGATGCAGTTGCATCTTTGTTAGGCCATTGCCTCTTAACTACAACCTACATAGAAGGCGCACTGCGGAATAATGCAGATATACAGTCACTTGATTAGAAACACCATACTCATACTAGGTAGGACCACCCTTTGCTCTGGACAGAGACTCACTTCTTCATGGCATGGATTGTAAAAAATAAAAAATAAAAATTCTAGACAATGTAGACACAATTGCATCAAATACATTTCAGCAGCATTATCAGCTGCATATTCATGCTGCGACTTAAACAACTGCATTGGGATCCACTAGCTCCTGTGGGACCTGACAAAAATCTCACGAGAGTGGGCAGTTTTAACTTTGCTGCATTAAACTGCAGGTTCCAGGATTTAGCACTATGTGAAATCAGCAAATGAAGTTAAATAGAATATTAAAGGAGGTTTTTACAGTACAAAAGCAAAGCAAGGAAAGCCTGACATTTAGGGGGGAAAAAATCTTAGTTATTACAGGTAAAATAAATGGACTTTGCTAGTTGTGATAGATGCACAAAAATATTCATATGCAATTGGCCAAGGAGACATACCTGCTCCTTTCTCCTCAAAGATAAAGCACTTCTTCCTGTGCATACTAGTGTATGTCATGGACAAATGTGTCTTGCTTTGTTATAAAGATATTAGGTTGTATGACATTGTTGCTGGGAAATGTTTTCATAGTTCAACACTCACATTTTAAAATACATTTTATGTAAAAGATGTTTGGCCTTCTCTAAACCATGTGTCTCGACATGTCATGTGGAGAGTACAGGTGCTGCTGTCTTTCCTTTTTTTAAAGTGATGACTCCTTCATGCTTTTCCTGCATTTGATATATGCAATATTAAACTTTGTTGTCAGCCAGCTGATTTGTTTTTCAGTTGGGTGTAATGATGCAACAGTTTTGATAAATCAAACTGTTGAGTTCATTACCTCCATTGTTATTGTACAAAACGCAACAAAATTAAGAGCGCTGCTTAGGTCAGTGAGTTAAAAGACATGGGGATGCAATACAAAACAGAACAATCTCAGAAAAACAAAGAACTAATAGCTAAAAATAATAAGAAAAAAATAAAGTACAAACTCATTTTGCCCTAGAAGACGATACTTTTTGGTGCTAGAACAACTGCCAATAGAGTAAATCTAAGTATGCACGGGAAAATGGTTTCTCAGCGGTGTTACTGTCAGGCATGCATCTCTTTATTAATGCCACACAGTAAAATAACATGTTCTCCCAGTGGGATGGGCAAAGACACAAAATCAATGGAACTCTATGCAGCAGGCGTGAATGGTTGGAATGTTTGCGAGCGAGACTGTAATGCACATATAGGAGCGGTAATGATCTGAAATCCAGCGGGAACGGGATTTAAAACACAGTGGCTCTACTGCGAATCCCTCGTTCCACCACATCCCAAAGGTTTTCTGTTTGATCCAGATCTGGCAACTGAGGCAGCCGTTGAAGCACGCCGAATTCACTGCCACGTTCATGAAAACCGGACTGCTTTGCGACATTATCATGCTGGAATTAGTCATTAGAAGATGATAAATTGCGGCCATAAAGGGATGCATATGGTCAGCAACAATACTCAGAAAAGGTTGCGGCATTCAAATGATGGATAATTGGTATTAAGGGGTCTAAAATGCGCCAAGAAAACATTTCCCTACACCATTAGAGCACCACCGCCAGTCTGGATTGTTGACACAAGGTTAGGTCCATGGCTTCATGCTGTTTATGCCATTTCTGACCCCGCCATCTGCAGCCTCAGCAGAAATCAAGGTTCATCGGACCAGGCTAGGGTTTTTTTCCCCCCAATATCTTCATCTGTTCAGTTTTGGTCAGTCTGCTCCCACTGCAGCCTCAGATTTCTGTTCTTTGTTGACAGTGAGTGTTACCTGACCTGGTCTTATGTTGTTGTAGCCCATCTGCCTCACAGTTTGATGCGTGCGACCGGAGACGCTTTTCTGCTCACCTAAATTGTAAAGAATAGTTGTCTGAGTCACCGTGACCTTTTTATCAGCTTGAAACAGTGTGACCATTCTTTTTTGATTTCTCGTATCAACAAGGTGTTTTTGTCCAGAGAACTGACAGTTACTGGATTATTTGCACCACTCTTAGTAAACTCCAGACACTGTTGCACATTAAAATCCAACAGATAAGCCATTTCAGAAATACTCAAACCATCTGGCAGTCATGATTACGCCACGATCAAACTCAATGAGATTTTTCTTTTTGTTTTTTTTTTCCCCCCACCATTCTGATGTTTGATGTGAATATTAACTGAAGCTCCTGGCCTGTGTATCTGCATGAATTTCTCTGTTGCACTCCCCCACATGATTAGCTGATTGGATAATTGCAGGAATAAGCAGTTAAACAGGTGTTCTTAATATTGTGCTGTGATGTGTGAATGTGTAGCTGCAGATACTGGAAGCTCTCCTTGGAAATTCTAGAGTATGATAAAAACTACATGTGTAAATAGATATGCTGGAAACATACATAATTATGAAGGGGAAGTTTTAGCAGTGAATGGGAAAATTTCAGAGCATGGAAATGAAAGGGATGGATTATGTGACAGCTGAGTGGAGGGAGGTATCTGGAAATATGGAACTTGAGAAGTGTTTTAACTCTGGAAACTTCATGGAAGAATCTGACAATCTCAGATATAAGAAAAGAGAAGGGGTCTGGTATGTATGTTGGAAGGAGTAAAGTAGAGGAAGGACCTCTGGAAACAGCACTGAGAAAATCAGTATGAGATTCAGTGATGGTAGTAGGAGCAATAGATCTGTCAAGATCTCTCTAAAGGAGGTGAAAAGAAGTACAACCACTTCAAAAGGAAAAAAAAAAAAAAAGATCCTGAAGTATAGGGCCCAAGGAGTCTGCTTTTTAAGTTGCACTACCTATACATCGGTATGTGGAAAGTCTTCCTTCCTTGAGGATATAGTCGCTAGTATTTAGAAATTAAGCAACTTTCCTGGCTGAATGGTGTTTGGTGAGTTTAATTTTAAGATATTCTCCAATGCTTTTGTCAAAGGGGTTAATGTTCCTTCCAGTCGAATGCACGCTCATTAATCATCACACTGAATATGAACGTTTTCGCATCAGTATTGTTACTTGATAATCAAAAGAAAAACCACCCAAATGTAGAAGCACAGATATTTGATGCTTGCCTCAGGACACCTCTTTAGAAGTTGTAAGAGAAATTGCCAAGATTGCTGGGCCTCATCTTTCCTTGGCCAATAAGCCATTTCTCTGTGTGTATAAATATCTCTCCTATACTCCCATTTCATTTTAAGAAAAAAAAAAAAAGAAATGAGGCCATTGCGGTTTTTGGATGCCATCACTTCCAGCACTGAGTAAAGAATAGTAAACCACTAAACTGTAGAATGCATTTGTTCATGACATGAAACTTGTATAATAATAAGTAGGAGTTCTGGGAGTTCGTAACAAGCTCATTTGTAACATTTTTCTCTTTTTGTTTTGTCTCTCTTCATTCCCCTCTGTCTAGGCTCTGCTCTGCGGCGTCGCTGGCTAGTGGTCCAACTCCTGATGCAGGTGTGGCTGGCGGCGAATCCATCTCTCAGTGAGCGCCCGTGCCCCAAAAGTTGTCGTTGTGATGGAAAAATTGTCTACTGTGAGTCAAGCGCCTTTCGTGATGTCCCCAAGAACCTCTCAGGAGGCTGCGAGGGCTTGTCTTTACGGTACAACAGCCTCGCCAGTCTTCGTGCAGGCCAGTTTGTAGGCCTCAACCACCTCATCTGGCTCTACTTGGACCATAATTACATTGCCTCTGTGGATGCAATGGCCTTCCAGGGGGTCCGCAGACTTAAAGAGCTGATCCTGAGTTCCAACAAGATCACATCGCTCCACAACACCACATTCCACCCTGTCCCTAATTTGCGTAACCTGGACCTGTCGTACAATAAATTACAAGCCTTGCAGCCTGGGCAGTTCCAGGGGCTGCGGAAGCTTCTCAGCCTTCACATACGCTCAAACTCTCTAAAAATTGTCCCAGTGCGTCTGTTCCAAGATTGCAGAAATCTTGAGTTTCTCGATCTGGGTTACAACCGATTGCGCAGTATCACCAGGAATGCATTTTCAGGCCTTGTCAAGCTCACTGAGCTGCATCTGGAGCATAACCAATTCTCAAAGATCAATTTCTCTCACTTTCCTCGCCTCTACAATCTGCGGGCTCTCTACTTGCAGTGGAATCGCATTCGCTCAATGAGCCAGGGCCTGACCTGGACCTGGGCCTCCATCCAGAAACTAGATCTATCTGGGAATGACCTGACGGAAGTAGATGCTGTGGTTTACCAATGCCTACCCAACCTGCAGACCCTCAACCTGGACTCCAACAAGTTGACCAATGTTTCTCAGGAGGTGGTTGATGCCTGGATCTCTTTGACTATGATTAGCTTAGCTGGGAATGTATGGGACTGTGGCCCTGCCATTTGTCCTCTGGTGGCCTGGCTGAGAAACTTTAGAGGGGCAAAGGAGACAACAATGATTTGTGCCTCCCCCAAGAAAGCCCAGGGTGAGAAAGTGATGGATGCTGTCGAAGCTTTTGGCGTTTGTCAATCAAACCCGGCAACGACACCCACAGTGAGTATTCCTCCAAACCCTTCCAGTGTCCCTGTGCAGACCGACCGTCGCCCGGCCATTCTGGCTTCACCCACCGGTTCTGGAAAGAGAAGCGAGGGATCCCTTAGGGGTCCCACATCATCAGCAGTTACTCCACCTGTGGCACTTCCCCCAGAGCAAGACTTGGAGCCCGTGTCCTTCCATAAAATTGTGGCTGGAAGCGTTGCCCTTTTTCTATCCGTTGCGATGATCCTGTTGGTGATCTACGTGTCCTGGAAGCGCTATCCCAGCAGTGTCAAGCAGCTGCAGGAGCATTCGGCAGCAGCCCGCAAACGTCGCAAGAAAGCTAGAGAGACGGAGCGCACCCTGAGCTCTCCCCTGCAGGAGTACTATGTGGACTACAAGCCCACCAATTCTGAGGCCATGGATGTGCTTGTCAATGGGACCGGACCATGCACCTATACCATCTCAGGCTCCCGAGAATGCGAGGTATGACCCACACCACCGCCACTCCTCCTAAACAAAACTCTGTCCACAGCGAGGCGACCAGAGGTAACTATTTATACTGCTTTGATAGATAAGTCTGCTACTTGATTACTTAGCATTGCGCAGCAGGTCAGGCAAATGCTGTGTATCCATGGATTATCACTGAACGAAGAAGAGGTGTTTTTTTGCTTCACTTTTTGTATAACAAGATATCACTTATTTTCAGTTGGGTGTTTGCATATTCGCTTAAACCCTAATCTCTGCTGAGATGCAAATGTTTGTTTTGCCGCAGCATTGTGTAGAAATACAGATAAATGAGACTGATTACATATCCTATTCTACATAATCTTGAGATTAAGCTATGGTGTTTGTGATAAGACATTTGTGCTTGTTTAGGTAGGTGTTTGCTTCTTTTTTTAAACATTTATTTATTTATTTTTTGCTTGCTTATCGCACACTTTCTGCTTTGTGTGTTTGCTCTTCTGCTGTTCAGTTTTTGATGAGCAGTATTGTGTGGGGAGAATAGCTGAATGGTGGTAAGATTCACTTCTGGACACTGGATGTGAATGCTAATAGAGAATCTTGTCATTGAATAGAGCTTCCCCTGAGCTGATGACTTCACACTTTCCTTTCGCATTGCTATAACTCAAGATAGTTGCTGGAAAATACTTAATCTCATAGTCCCCCAACAGCACTTCCTTTCTGCTTTTTTTTTTTTTTTTATCCCTCCTTTTCATACGGACTTGCTGAAGTTACTCACTTGTTTACTCACTACTCTAATTGATTTGTGACGCATAAACCAAAATGCACACTTTCGCTGGCCATTCACGTTTCAATTCACACAGGGATAGAAAAAAAGTACAATTTCTTTTTTGACAGAAAGAGAGAGAAAGAAGCAGTCTTTGATAGTCCCGAAAGGAATGGGAATCCTTTGAAATGTTTTGTACACAGGAAAGTGAATTTCTTCAAAACAGTATTTACAGACTACAACAATATGGGAATAGCACTTTTTTTTTCTTTTTTCTTTTTCAGCTGCTACACTCCTGTGTACCTGACATACTGTACGATCCTTGGTAAAATAAAAACCTTTTATTTTACTGCAGAGTTTACTCGGGTTTTCCAACCTAAGCAGCAAAGCTTCTGCAGAAATGTATTTCTTATTACTGGTTAACCAGCACATTTGTAACAGGAAGCTAAGGATGAGTAAAGCCCACCTTGGTGATCGAGCAGCCCACAGTTTAAGGGTGTGACCCAATAGGTGTTAAGTCATATTTTGGTTAAGCTCTTTATATATTTTCACATTATCAGCCCACTCACGCTCACTCTAGTTTCGGGTTTTTCTGCATTTCTGTGGAATGAATTTCTGGCAGGTTTTTCTCTGGAGGAATGACTGTAAATGCAAAGGTTTTCAAAAGCAAGGAGGTGGGTTTGATCATTCTTTTCCATTTCTGGTACTGACCGTGTTACTTCCCTGCAGGCAGGTCGCTTGGCTATATGTAATACTTGCAGGTAGCTCACAGGTTTGATTGTAAAATAGGAGCACAAACCACTGCTGCCATTTTGTTGTTGTTTGCCGTGCCCTCCTCTATGTAGGTTTCGAGTTGCTCCATTGGACCTGTGGTGCTGCTTTATATTGGGGGTGAATTTTTCACCGCAGTACTTGATTATTCGTGATGTTCTGCAGAGGGGAAACTCACACATATGTAATTTTCAGTAGATCTCTTTCATTCTGCACAACACCGGATGACCTTCCATTTAAATTATATGTGGTTCTAATTTTGGCACATCTTTTGTGGCTTCAACCCAATATACCATTTACTGTGTGCGATGGCATCTTTTCAAATCAAAACAAGGGCATAAGCACAGCGGGATCTCGCTTTTAGAATGCAGTCCATTAACCATTTACAGGGGCTGAATGTGATAAAAAGGAACACATATAAAATGGTCTAGACAAGAACAATACAGGGGGGGAAAAAAACTATAGACATGTATCCTATCCAAAAATGGGAGAACTGCTTCATAGAATTAATGTTGTTTTGTATTTTAAAAGGTTGTGCAGGTGTTTTTGCTCTTGTTGCTGCCCTCTGTAATGTAAATGGTAATGTAGTTGATTTGAAAAGTACACAGCAGGAGACAGCTGCCCACATAAATCATATCAATAAGACAAAAGGTCTAATGGTATTTGCAGTAAAGGGGAATTCTGGAAATGGCATTCATGTCTTCAGTATTGACCCTTGAGTTGGTCGGTAAACTATATGATCATTTTTTTATGTGTAGCCCAAAATTACACAGTTGTCTCCGGGGGTTTTACGATGAGTTTACGTTGGCCTTTGTGGTGGACCTTCACATTGGCATTTTAAATCAGAGAACATAATACCATATGGTACCAGTGTTTGATAGAAAACTGCTAATGTCAGCAGTGATATAATATGAGGCAAACAATGGAACACGACTGCACCAGGATCAGGAGGAATTAACAACTGCGGGGAGGCGGTGATACTGTCACACTAGGTGAAAGCAAACAAACAAACAAACAAAAAAATCCATTGGGTTCCTTCCAATATGTCACATTACAAGGGATAAAATAGCTGAATTCCATTCTTAATACTCGCTTTAATTCCTGATGTCCTATGCTAGTTGAAATGACTATTATCAGACTATCGCATGGTCCAGGGAGGCGTTAAAAGAGATGGTATCTATGAAAGTTGCCTCCCACGTTTACTCCATAGGACCCCATGCAAAATCTGTTAATAGCCTTTTATCTTGACTTCACTGAACTTGGCAATTGTGCTGACTCTTTTATCCTGTGAGCAAAATAAAGCAGGTATTAACTCATATTAAGAAGGGGCGAAGGCCAAATCAACATCATAGATTAAGCAGAGTGTTACAACTTGGGGGAAGGGGGGAATGGTCCTGGAAATATTTTGATTCATAAGCAATAAAAGTGCTTTTGTTCTCGTATGATTTATGGCACATCAGCAATACATGGAGTAAAGGTGGCCGATGAAAGAGAAATTGAACTGAGCCATTCACTAAACAAAAGATAATACCAAGCAGTAAAACAAGGAATAAAAAAACAAAAAAAAAAAAAACATATCTCCAACCCAGCAGTGTTCCCCAACAGGGACTTCTGTTCCCATGAGCAGCGGTTTGATTATTTTAGCAGGTTGCTGATATCCCCCACCTCCTAAAAGAAGTGGAAAGATGAGGTGGAATCAGGCTGTTTTTAAACTATGAACATGCTCTAAATGTTACAGAAGATTCACATGAATAAGGCTATTGATGTGAAATGTGATATCTTATTCTATAAGGGGTCTTGGGAGTCTTGCAGATTCGCAAATCTACAATATGTTCTCGTTAGTGTGTTGAACTAGAACGTCTTGGATTGATATTTAGATTGAGAAGGGCACAGCACCCAGATGAAATCCTATTCAAGGCAGACAGGAGGTGAAGTTGCAGATGTAGCAGTAGAGGATCCTAGTTGTGTAATTTATATGAAGTGTCCATAGTTTGATTTTCTTCCCCATTCAAAGCTTCACCCCTTCTCGCCTTCTAATTGACTTAATACACTCGCTGTGGATTGTGTATGTCAAAAGTATTGCATTGAGGCCTCTTACAGCTAAACCTGTACAGCTGCAGTCATAAAGCATGAAAATAGCTATGGATAAACATGGGAAGGAAAAGTGAATAAATGTCTCTGCTAATTCTCATCAGAGGAGCTGTTCTGCTTCCACAAGCTTCCTTTTCATTCCGACTTTCCTCCATTTTTTTTTTTCTTTCTGTGAGATACCCTTGAAAATGCATTCTCTCCAGCCTTATCTGTCTCTCTGTCTCATCTTAAAACATTGTTGAGGGGAGACAGGAACTATCTGTCAGCAGTCCACAAAGTCCTGAGTTCATCTCGGAATGTGCTCCGATCTTGTTTCTACATTTTGTTGCCTCCGCATAGACATAAATCACTCGGCAGAACGCGGCGGTACCTGCTGCACTCTGCCCACCTCGCAGCCACACTTCCTCTCCTCAGGCTCGAGGACATAGCAGCTCAGGTCTGTTCAGCCCTCCTGAGTGGGAATTGCTTTTTTTTTTTCCTTCTTCTTCTGTCTGTGTCACTCTTACTGGTTCTTTCATTTGGAGTCTGTGCCATCACTGTATAGTAACCCTGGACCTCTTCACATGATTGTCCTTTATCATTCCCCAGGTCCACTTGACATGAATGGGAGTTTGGCAGCCTTTTTAGTGAATTGCCTGAAGATGGTGCAATCCTCATTTTTCTACGTCACTCCCAGACGTCCCACAGAGAGGATTATTTCTGTCATTTCATTTTGATCTTCCTTTGATCTCTTCTATTCTCCCTGTAGCCTACTCCCGAGGTGGACCCGATCTCGTGTCGGATGTCACCTTTCCAGAACATCATCGCGTGCCCCTTGCTGTGTATTTCCCCTCAGCCTATTTTGTACCCTGGCTGCACTACGGGGTAACATTTGTAGGGCTTCACCACAATTCATTCATTCCCTTCCCCTGATTCCATTCAATTTGTAAAACGTGTGTCTAGCAACCCTGTCATCATTCTTTAACTTCTACCACCTTCAATTCAGATCTCCCCATTTGTTCTATCCTGCTCCATAAAACCAAGTGAACTACACAGACATCTTTTTTTTTTTTTTTTTTCTTTTTGCAGGGGGACACATAGTAGCTCAAATCTTCTTTGATAAGGATTTTGATTTTATGCCAAACCCACTCTGCCAGCTTACTTTACACCTTCCTTTTCTTAGCAAGTTCTGAAACTCATTTCTAGCGACAGGACCGCTGCATGGCCTTTTGACTCATCCTCCTCATCCTTTCCTCTGATACCGTTGCTGACCTTTTCCAAACTACAATCATCCACTTACTATAATGTCACGCCGCATACGGCTGTCTTTGAATTAATTAATTTTGCTCCTATTTTTAAGAAGCCCAGACTCCCCTGATGTTAAAACCTATACAACCAAATGACACCCACTTCTTATGAA